TCTCCAAAAGATCCTGCTCAGAGGAGTACTTCATTTTCAATTGCACCAAAAAGTATTCCCAATACATCTTACTAGCTTCTCCTTTGGGCATGGTATCGGCTAGTAACTTCTACCGACTTAATACCCAGGTCTTTAACTTTCTAACCACAATAACAGTCTTCAGCTTACTGCTATAGCCACAACTCAAACATCATCTCCAGCTTGGAGATCTAATCCATGACTTCCACCGGTGTTTGGTTTCCAGAAAGACTTGGTGGCTTGGATTCCATGAAATCCTTGTTTATGCATCCACATCTATCATCTCCTTCATTTGGTTGGTTCGTTCTAACCACTCTTGTCTCAGGTTGCCTAATAGTCTGACTGTAGTTTCCATCCCTAGACTGTCCTTCGTTTAACTCAAGTTGCAAAACATGTACAGTAGGTTTATCCCTATTAATATGCAACATTTGTCTCATCTCCTCCCTTTGTTTGACCATCATATCCCGAATCATTGGTTGGACTCCTGCCATCATGATTAGTTCAGGTGCAGTTGCTACCTCTGGTGCACACTTAATCACTTGTGGCTCTGGCTATTGATAGGGAATGCTTTATTTACGATATACTTATAAATCTCCTTATCACTATGCTTTATTTACGATATACTTATAAATCTCCTTATCACTATGAAAAGTTACATGCTAGTTCTATTGTCGTAGCTAAACGTTTATATATCTGAACACATAAAATTTCCAGATTTGGTCGTCAATAGACCATAGATCCGATAACATTATAAAACATATAAGGCATCTTGTAGCATAAATCATTTAGGACATGAAAGCAATTTAGGCATCCTCCCTAAATAAGTGTGTGCTTGTGTCTATTCAGACATACTTCCAAAATATAGAAGACACTCACCTCAAAACCATTGCTTCGCATTCTAAGTTTAAGTCTAGAAATCCTTCGACTTACTAGTTCTCTTAAACTAATGCTTTGATACCAACTGTGACATCCTCAATTTCACGGTAAGAAAATACCCATTTGTTTATGATTTATCTAAAATCAGAGTATCCTATTGAAGAATAATATTGCGAAATTTGTTCCCAAAATATGATAAAGATATTATCAAAGCATTTCCAAATAAATGTATTTTAATTATATTAAAAACATTGGGATATCATCGTCAATACAGTATATAAGCATAAACGGAAATAGTACATGCCTTAAAAACATCTATTATTCTACTGGCCTATAATCCATAAATCTCTCATTTATTTATCACAATGGTGCTCTTGTGCCACTACCTATAATACAAGAAACTGAGTTGGTCCGACTTAGGAGCCTGGTGAACACATAAGGTTTTTAACCATAACAGTTAAATTCTTTTTTCATCAAATCATTCAACCCAATTACCCATCCCGTTATCCTCACTTTATGTCCTTAAAGCATCTAATTCAGGGGTACCTATCATAAGGATTATCTTCGGGATAAACAATAATGCTTAGGGCATTGCTTAGCAATATATGTCCGTAAGGCAACCATTAGGGGGGAGGGGGGGAGGGGTGAGCCTACTAATGTTCCACTGGACTATCTAGAATATTCTGTGGTCGTCATCTATACTCCGCTACATGACTGCATCAACATTAAAGTCAAGCCTTCTCATCATTTATCTCATCTTTCATCTTTCATCATCTATATCATCTTTCATCATTAAAGTCAAGCCTTCTCATCATTTATCTCATCTTTCATCTTTCATCATCTATATCATCTTTCATCTAACCATCCTTACTCAACATATTTATAGGTATAAAATACATATAAAGTTTAATCAAGTAAAACATGTATAAATTGTTCATCCAACACAGATATTAAGAACACAGATAACATGCACATATATCATGTAATTTATCTTAAATACTTCATATCTATGAGTAAGATCAAAGTAACTATGCACTCGCATGTTAAAGCAACGACTCGAAACTCGAATAGCGCTTCACTTCTAGCAACTCTCTATTCCTTTGACATAACCTAGTATCATTATCACTAAGTCTTAATCTAATATTTTTTGTGACTAGTTATTAGTCTAGATTATCATTAATTCAAAGTCTACTGATCTATAGCTCATAAGGTACAACCATGTAAGATCATATCGGAGGTAGAGTCTGTTTAGTATACATAGTATATTGTTTGAAAAACTCATTTGAAACACCTCACTAAATCTAGCCTTGTCATCATCCATGTAAGTAGATCAATTAATATAACGACTTGGAGTCACTGATAAATCTTGTTTATAGGTTCATAATAACGATAATGAACTTAAACATTTGTTATATTTAAAGCACGGTAAGCATAACTAAACATACATGTGGTTTAACGAAAAACCGGACTTTGAACGGGAAGAACTTCTAAACTGAAAGCTCTTCTGCTAAGGTCTTTCTAATGCTCCGATGCTACGCTACTAACCCTTAGAAAGTGCTAGAACAAGGCCTAGGGACCTTAGGGCTTTGGGAGAGACTAAAATGAAGTGGTGTGAATAAATGGATGAAATTCGTGTTCTATTTATAGGCTTCTTTGAGGTCAGTAAATTGGGCATACTCCTAATTATGTTGGGCGTAATGCGGCCAAGTGTGAACATCTAGTGACAAGTCGTGGGGAGAAAGGTGTGTGCCAGATTGCGATACGTGTCGCATCCTTTCTAATCCAAAAATTATTTATCTTTTAAAATTCATAAATTTCACATACGAGCTCTATTTCTTACGTTCTTTATATGCATGCGTATCTATCGATGAGATCTACTAATTTCAAAATTATTTTAAAAGTTATATTTTAACAGACTTTGACGGTTAAAGTCCGTTAAAAATTCATAACTTTGTCATGCAACGTCCGTATTTGACTGTCTTTATATGGTTGAACTCCTATTAACGAGATCTTCAATTATCGTTTAGATTTTTTCGCTAAAATTCGATTTCTGAGTTGTACACTGCACTGTGCACGCATAATCTTAGAAAAATCATAACTTCCTCTATTGAAGTCAATTTTTGACATTCTCTATATACACAATCTCGTTTTAATGACTACTACGACTTTCATTTAGATTACTAAGGCTAAAAAGTAATTTATCAAAAATTTACTTTTTACGATACGTAGAGCTGTGTCGGTTTAATCGCGAAACTTCAACGGGTCATAACTTCTTCGTTATAAGTCAGATTGGAGCGTTCGTTATATCTCTGGAATCCTTGTCACGACTACTTCAACTTTTTTTAAAGATAGGCAAAATTTCGTATACGCCCTTCCTGAACAGCTAAATATCATATTTTCCCGGACTAAACCCTAAATATCGTATTTACCCTTCCTAATGTTTTTTAATATCATATATACCCAAATCTATTTTTTTATATTTTTTTATTGATTTATAATTGTTTTTAATAATATTAAATCATTATAAATAAATTACATAATGATTGGACAATGATACCCTTCCTCCTAATCTCCAATACAACATACAATTCAAGCTTTTTTGATTGATTCTGCCAAAAATCGTTTTCCCTTGTACCTTCTCAAATCACGTTCGAGCCTTCCCTTCCATGAGGCTTCCGATATTTTCTTCCAATCGCTACACATAATCGATCATGTATTCTAGAATCGATCGCTGATTCCAGTTGTTACAATCCGCTTTGTTACAGGTTCGAGCGAATCAGGTTCAAGCGACTTCAACATATACCTATTTTCCATCTCTTTAATTTCGTTTTTAGGGTTTTTAGTTTCAATTGTTCAAATTCTTGTTAAAATCCGCTTTGTTATGTTGTATTTGATAGCTTAGTTATGTTGGATTTCAGGTACAATCGGTTTCAATGAACTAAGAACTTTTAGTTTCACCTATGATCTTCAGCCTCACGAGATTAGGAGCTTGGTGATTGATCTTATTCAAAAGCATCACATTCAACACTTGTGATTCCAGAGATATAGTCAACTACAAGCAGCAAGGTAATCAGATTTTCATTCTATTTTTTTAAACTGATTAATTAGGTTGAAATGGTATATGTGTAAATAGTGTACTGAACACCAGCATTATAATTTTATAATTTTATATGTTGTTTGTAGTGTCCAGTTTAAGAATTTTGTTGACATCTACAATGAAGATCAGTTCATGGCAATGTTAGCAAATGATATCTCAACTGTGAAAACCCTTCCCAAAACAACAAAAGGAGCCACAAGAAAGAAATAAATCCCTTCATTTAAAGTGTTTAATTCACAATCTCCATACTATAATTTACATCATTTTCTTCCAGCTCTCATACGCCACTTTGTAGATGAATTAGTTATTGTTGATGGTGGATGCTTACAGGTAAATGCATTGTTATTTATGTAATGACTCGGGTTGTATTGTATCATAGTTGTGCTGAGATTTTTTAGGTACTTAATTAAATTATTCGAACTATATATTTTTTTGATGGATTTTTGGTGAATATGAAGGATGTACATGGAATTATCAAAGGCAATATTATTGTGGATTCACACACACAACGTCCGAATGGTTCATGGGACACAATAATCAACATATCTGGAGGAGAAGTCTGCGGTGGCCAAAAGAAACTTATCCCGTTTCATGCAAAATTTGAAATTGTAGTGGATAGGACATGAAGCGTGAAGCGAATCTTAAGAAATAACAACGTACTTTGAGAAATTGATGATATATAGCATTGAACTTTCAAAATTTTGTAATAGTTAATAACATTAGCTATATGTTTTTTATTATCTTTGTATGTTTTAATTATAATTTATACAATTTTGGTCCTTAAAGCATATATTTGGAATTAGTTACATTTTGGTCCCTAAACTTTAAATTTGCACCATATATACCAATTTGACAACAGACGCAAATCCATAAAAGAAAAACTAAAACAAAATATTTATTTATGTCACGTATTAACAAAAAAATCCATCAATTGAACCCTAACTAAGAATATTTTCAACTTAATCTAACAAAATTTTTCTAAAGGAACAACTAATTTCATGAGACTTTTTCATGTAGAACCCGAAACTCCCGAACCACCATGCGATTTTGTATCCTTTCCGCGTGACCTTTTAGATGTGGATGTTTCACTTTGATCGAAACTTTGAGATGCTGGATTTTGACATGTCCTTTCACGGTGTCCATAATCTCCAAATCGCGGACACTTGTGTCTTCTTTTAGACTCATCCGATGATTTTATTATATTTTTTCTTGGTCGTCCAGGTGGGCGTTTGATAATAGGTGGATATATTTTCTGTCCATTCTTTTGCGCCCATTGATCCTGTCCGGGCATCGGATCAATTTGAAAAGCATATGCGACTTTAAAGTTCTCTATAGTGAAATATGGATCAACATATTTGTCCCAGTTAGCATCCCTTATATAAGCAATAAAATCCGCTGCATGTACACATGGCCGGCCCTGAACTTGCCATACTCGACAACTACAATTTCTTTCATCTAGGTTGACCTCCTAACGTGTTGCCTTGTACTTCACTTCAGCTTGATTCTCAGAACTTCTAGTAACGTCATACTCTCCCAAGTTCTACATGAAAATTTATATATATATATATATATATATATATATATATATATATATATATATATATATATATATATATATATATATATATATAGATTAGATATATATGTATTATTGAAGTAAAAACTAAAATAAATATAATCATTCAACTGAATTATTTAACATGCTTACCTTAGTGATGTCATTGAGATGGTTTTTAGCAATAGGAACCAAAGTGACATTCCATGTATTCACCAAATTTCTTTTCTTATCAAACCGTTTCATAATCTTTTCCTTAATTGCATCAAGGAGATCAAGCACGGGCTTATAGTGCAATTTACCAATCCAAGAGTTAAACATTTCTGAAATATTATTAGTGATGTAATCACACTTGGAAGTATACGATAACAGGGGAACGTGTGTGTATGCGATAACAGGGGAACAATTGGAATCAACGATCAATTCTGAAATACACGATCGATTATGTGTATCGATTGGAAGAAAAGATCGGAAGCCTCATGGAAGGGAAGGCTCGAACGTGATTTGAGAAGGTACGGGGGAAAACGATTTTTGGCAGAATCGATCAAAAAATCTTGAATCATATGTTGTATTAGAGATTAGGAGGAAGGGTATTATTGTCCAATCATTATGTATTTTATTTATAATGATTTAATATTATGAAAAACAATTATAAATCAATAAAAAAAAATTGGGTATATATGATATTAAAAAATATTATGAAGGGTAAATACGATATTTAGAGTTTAGTCCGAGCAAATATGATATTTAGCTGTTTAGGAAGGGCATATACAAAATTTTGCATTAAAGATATTAGGTCTAATTATTGTTTTATTTTAAATGCGTATTTTATTCCTATTTTATTATATCGTTATAAGCACGAATTTACACATAAATCACATAATGCTCAAATATTTCTTCCTTTATTAAATCAAATAAGTTACAATTGTTGAACCTAACTATTACATAATCTCATTAATGGTTAGCGAGAAATGCGGGCGTCACATAGAGTAGTTCACCAGTACTTGTTGATCTAGACATAAACAATCAAATAACAATAAACCAAAGTCCTCAGCAACAATGCGTAAACTTGGTGGGATATCAAGTCCACCAAGCAAATTATACCCTTTTTGTTTGCAAATAAAACATACTATAGTATTTAAAAGGGGGTCGATCGATGTAGAAATGGTTGTATTTAATCACCAATACAATCCAATAGAACAAGTGTAATAAAACTAACTACCTACAATTAAACAAAAAAAGGGGGGGGGGGGGTGATTGTTTGATAACTAAAAAACTTGAATAATTAAAAGCTTGCAATTATGCAAGATGGTGAGATGCTCAAACATTGGAGAAAGTTGGTCAACCAAGGCAGTTCATCATAATGAACATTTGTGTGTTTATCAATAGGATTTAATATGTAAGCTTATCATTCATCACAAATTGGTTATAGAAATCATGAAACATGACATGCCAAAATTCATCAATGGTAGTATGGAGGTTGGGAAAGCCCACAACACACCTTCTTAATCAAAATCAAGGTTTAATTGAAGCAATTAAACCCAAGAAATTTGAGTATCCTTAAGAATGAAGGAATCCTTAATTCCTAAAGGATGTCAATGCTTCTACATCTATAAAAGAGTCATGATCCAACATTGATCATAAGTTAGAGATGATTTCTACCATCATAATGCATTTTTTCTAAGAAAATTCAATGATTCATCGCTAAATGATGAGCCAAATGATCAAAATGCCCCTGTAAGTGCAGTTGTGTGGGTACCCTTGCAAACTTATACGGGTGAGACTCCACCCTCGCAACTGGTGCTGAAATATTATTGGTTTTTTTTTCACTACTACTCAATATTCCTTTGGTCCCCTCCACACCTCACATGATTCAAAAATACACCAATCATCTTTAAGCTTCAATATGGATAGTCCAATTCCAACTTCATAAATGTATGACCCATCTTCATAAGCCCACTTAATCCAAGTCTTAAACATGTCAAACCCAATTCTTCCATAATGTATCCATAGAGCCTAAAAGTTCCTCGAAATCCCACCAAGCCCAGCAACAACCTAATCCACAACCGCAACGAGACTCCAATAACCTACAAAACACCTTATGTAAAATAAAGAAAGTACTTTATACGATTCAAGATAAAGAATGGCATAAAATATGCAATGTAATAATAAAAAAATGTATGCAAATGTTAAAATAAACTATATGAAAGAAGGAAATAAAATAAACAATCAATCTCGCTCTAACCATTTATTTATTCTATCAGGTGGGATTTTCATTCATTTGAGTGGAGGTACTTTCTTTGGTGGAGAAAATGGGCATGAAGAAAGTTACCAAAGCTAAACCTCCCTAAAAATCCACTTATTTGCTTGTCTTGAAAATATCCGGTAGTTCGAGAAATGAAGTTTCATTTTAATGTCTATTACAATGCTTATTTATATTGTTTTTCTATTATAGCATCGATCTTTCACTTTTAATATAGATTATAATATTTTACTTACGTTTATTTTTCAATTATAGCATTAAACTTTCATAGTATTGTCTGTTATAATATTTTACTTTTATCATAACGATAATAATAACATATTAATGTCAATTATAGCATTTTATTTTATGTGAATTATATCATCTTACTTTTATCTTTATGTCTAACATTGAACTTTCATTTTAATGTAGATTTCAATATTTTATTTTTATTTATTTTTTATTATAAGATTTAAATTTATGTTCAGACTTTCATGTTAATGGTTTCATTAACATTAGTACGTGAATTATATCATTTTACGTTTGTCTTTATGTCATTCGTAGCATTCAACTATCATTTTAATGTTGATTTCACCATTTTAATTTTTTTTTTTTAATTATAGCATTCAACTTTCATGTTATTGGTTTTGATCACATTTATATGTGTATATGTGGTAGAACTATTTTGAAGATCAATATGCTCGAATCCATGTTCACACATGTCTATATATATATATATATATATATATATATATATATATATATATATATATATATATATATATATATATATATATATATATATATATAAAAGGCCATCGTGAGTACCCATCATTAACCACTAATGTGATAGGTATCATATGATTACCACATTCAACAAAATTACACTTGATATACATACCATTAACCTCTACTCCACATCATTTTTTTAATTCAAATTTAAATAAAAAATATATTAAAAAACATATATATATATATATATATATATATATATATATATATATATATATATATATATATTAAACTAGTTTTTCATTCATTAAAACAAACAATACATTGATAAAAAAACAAAATTAAAAAAAAAAGACACAAACATAAAAACTTCAAACATTAAAAAAAAAAAAAAAAAAAAAAAAAAAAAAAAAAAAAAAAAACTACCCCTATTCATATATCATGTTTGTACGGATTCTTTCATTGCAAGAAAAATTTTCATTTCTTCACTCTCGTAGGCCCCGACTTTTATTTTCAATATTTGCAAACCGTTTTTCATTTCAAATGACGTTTGTAGGTCTACCGGTTTTTGTTTAACCCGACTCATCATTCCTAACTTTCTCTCTTGTACTTAGTTGAACATATTGATCAAAATTTTCTTCAAAATAATCAATAATGCTAGAACCCAAAAGTTTTGAACCAGAACCAGAAACGACTTTCTTGTATTTCTTCCTATCGGCCGACAAAGTGGTTGTTCATCTTCAAGATCCATCATCTCATTATTAATGTTGATGTGTGTTCGACCTTTCAATTGTTGTGAACCTTCATATGTATTTCGTGTACGTTTCGAACCGGATTTGTTTCCATTTTGGAGCATCCTTCAACGTTAGCTAATGTTTGAGATATGAAAAATCTTTATGGGTTGCTATTGTTTTTTTTTATATTGTTCCATGGTCACACTAAACATATCAAAATTGCCTGAGCCAATGTATAGATTGTTGTAGATTTTGCCGAATTTAGTACATTTTAACCCCAAATCGTGTTATTTCGAACTAATTTGGTTGAGATTTCGACTTTCACTTCCCATTAGACCATAACACATGGTTCAAACATTTTCCGAAAAACAAGTAGATGTTTGAGCATCTTCATGTATGAGGTCTTGGGACGCCGAAACCATACTTGTGCTAAATTCTCTTTTTCATATTTTATCAAATTCACCATTTTTATTTGTTTGGGTTTGAGTGGTAACTATGAGTTTTTTTCCCTTTTTTTTTGGATGGATAGTGGTGAAAGTTGTGTTTTGACTGTGAAATAGTGAATCTGATGGTGAAAAATGTGGTTGTGAGGTTTTGGTGGTAAAAGTTGTGGTTTTGATTGTGTTTGGAAAAGAAAGTTGGGTATATGGAACCGAATTTGAATTATTGTAGATAGGGTAGGAAAACTTGATATGATTGTTGAAAAAGTTGAATTTGTAGGATAAGGAAACCATCTTGGAGCAAATTCATAAAATCACCTTGAAGTGATTCCATGTTTGGATATTGGCATGAAATTGCATCTAATGCAAAAATATTATCGGACTTGTGGTTCCGATAGGTTGGTGAGGTATTTTGATTGTGATCTACGGTCTTGGATTCTACAATAATAGAAATGTATGTATGTAAATAGAGGAAGAGAAATTTGTGTGCAATTGTATTTATATGTGAAGATTTATATAAAAAAAATGAAAAATTAGAAATCAACCGTTGAACGACCAGCCAACGAAGTCAAACATCCAAACTCTCCTATTCATTGTTGTACGTCGTTGTATCACTATAAACTACCACAACCATGGCTGATTACAAACTACCAAAATGGTGTTCATAGAGTGTAGTTGTTGTCACGTAAATCACGAAGCCCTCTGTTCAAAGGGCTCCGGGTCTAAAATAAGGTTAGTAACCAAAATGAAAGGAAACTAAATAAAAAAATTGGCATGGATATATATTTGTAACGGAAAGACAGTTTACCCCCTAACCAAGTCAGAGGTGGACACCGTTTCATTAGGAAACTAAATAAAAAAATTGGCATGCATCTCCCCTACCCTCTATTTGTTCCCTCTTTGATCAATGGACAATATTGCATGTGTCCTCTATTTTTCTTCTTTATCATATTAACATTGTAGAAATATTAATACCATTGTAATTCGATTTATGAATTTGGTTTTGTATTAGAATCGAATAGAAATTTACAAATTACACTATCACATACATGGTGATTATTATTATTAATATTTAAGTTTGTTACTTATGAGAAATAGGAAAATGAAAATAAATGGAAGAATGTGAGGAGCTGAAACCGAGGGAATTGGTAGGAATAGGATAGAGTAGCAATAAAAATAATAATAAATTTAAAAGGTGGTGGTGTTCCAAGACACAATCATTACGAGCCTCTTCACAGGAAACACAAAGGAGTTTGGGCGTGGATACTACTACCCTTTCTTCTTCTTCATATTATTTATTTATTTTTTTTTCCAAATTTTTACCAAGGACAACTATTCTCCTTTTAACATCATCTTTTTATTTATGAGTTCACGAATCCTCTAACTCCCTTCAAACATTAAATCATTATTTTTTGTAAACTCTCTTTTCACTGGTCAAACATGTTTAACATTAAACAATCACCATTTCAATGTTAATGTTTGGAGAAACTTTAACCTATGCTATTTTATCTTTTCAATTTATGGAGTAACTTCACTTACAAATACAAAAGTTTTATTATTTTCCTTTCAAAATTATAGTTTATTTTTTATTTTTGATTCGTTTTAAAATAATAGTTTATTTCTATCAAAATACTCATTCGTGATTACTTAACCAACTAAGTATTTAATGAAACATTAAAATTCAAAGTAAAACAAAACTATCATCTTATTGTATATGTTTTTTTTTGTGGTCAATAATTTTAGAACAAATTGAATATAAATTAATATTACTGAAAGTACAGTAAAAATGTTAATTTACATAGATAGTAGTATTAAACAATGAATAAATAATTATTTATTAAATCAAAAATATTTTGTAATTGATTGAAGATAAATTCTAATTACAACAAAAAATATATCATCTAAAATGTGTCACAATAACAATGATGGGCCATATATATATATATATATATATATATATATATATATATATATATATATATATATATATATATATATATATATATATATATATATATATATATATATATATATATATATATATATATATATATATATTAGCGTATTTCGAGTACACGCCACATTTTTTTTTTGACATAAGAAAAGTAACTATAGTTCATTGGTTTTAGTTAACAAAAACAAACAATAGTAGTTTATGCTTGTAAATAAAATACCTGTTAAGATTTTAATTACATGTTTATTTATATTATGTTTGATACAACACAATTAACTTATAAATGATTTTTTAAATTGTTTTAAATTATCATGTTCATCTAACAAAAAACTAACTTAAAGCTTATAAGAAGATCAACAACAGAGGAGCTTTTTAATTGATTTAAAAAATAAAAAAAAATAAAAATAAAAAAAAAATAAAAAAAAAAAAACTAGTCACAATACAAATACTCATTGTATCTCTCACATTAAATAAAAATTTTAATTTTGTTTGTTTTATTATTGGTTTTTAGATATTTTTATGGTTTTAATTGGTTAAAAATCTATAGATCCTACACACAAAACTGAAAAAGCTTTTAGTTGGAGCTTGTTAATCGGTTAAAACTCATACTAAAAAATCTACGGTTTCTAAAAATTGAAAGGAAGACGTGGTAGGTGAAGGATTTGTAGTGGCCGTGAAAATAAAAGAAAATTATGAGCAATCTTGTAAAATGGATTATCTTAATATATTACAAGGTGACCAACCTATGCATTAATTTGTAAATTAATCATGTGTATAATAAGTTTAAAAGAAATAACTTTATATATTTTCTATATCTTAATGTATAAAGTAGCCATTATGTCCATTAAAATAAAAAGAAACAACATGCTTCTTACAACATAGAAAACTTTTCAAAAGATTGACATCTTGGAAAAAGCTTAAACCATCAAATAAGCTATGATACCATTAATTGTAATTTTTTTTAAAGAGTAAGAAAGTTATCATTTCAAAGAAAAAGCTAGCAAAAAGCTAAAATTACAAGATATCAAGACATTCAGCCTTTGACTCTAAACACCGGTTTATCCCAATTTAACATACAACCTCTAATAGCTCTAATTTTAAGCCAATATCACCTAAATAAAAGACTTCGTTGCACAACTTTTAATCATTTTCACAAAATAAATTAACCTGAGTTTATAACTTAAACATATAATACTACGGCTTCCATGGCTAATTTTTTTTTCATAAATTAGAATATTATTCCAAAACTATCTTCTTTTTTCAATAATCATCGTCATATTGTGCATGCATGGCTCCAATAAAACCCTTTTGGTATCCTCTTCCCTTTAAAAATCTTTCCTCTTCTACTTTAATTTTTTAAAAATAAATTATATAATTAATAAGAAAACTATCCTATTCTACCTAAAAACCTAAAATAAATATTATTCTTCTGAAAGATTTTTTTTTAGCCGAACCAAAAAAACATGCATCGATCTGTCGACATATAGTATTAACAACTCATTATATGATATATATTAGGTTGTTCAAAAATTCAATAAATTATAGAAATAATAAGATTGATTATTCATATCATTTTATATGTAGTTAAATGTTAATTTAATACAAAACCTACATATGTTATTAGCTTATATATAAACAAGTTTGAATAAAAACTATTGCATTTTTATGATGAAAGAAATTGAAACGCACTCAAGGACTTATTATTTTGATTAGATGTGATCAGAAAAAATATATGTCTATTATATATTCGAACAATTGTGAGTTCTAGTGATAGGCACATAAAGTTGACCTAAAAACGCCATGATCATAGAGTGACTCCCATACAATGAAGGTCCCTTAATTACTGTTCAGAATATATTCAAGCAAAGCATGGAAATACTCATTTCCAAGAGTGAATGGAATTTTCAGTCATTATACTTGTTACTCAAGAACAACTATTAATAAATTGTTCCTGTGAAAACGCAGATAAATAGTAAACTTTGCAATTTCTTGCATTTCATTCATCAAATTAATACAAGCCTGATTATGTATTCTGTTAATTAACTGTTGATTGAAAAACACACAAAAAAAAAAATGTAAAGCGTTGACGACTATTTTGTATTTACTCATTTTATATATAGCAAACTGATAGTACGATTAGTAAAACCTTGTTCATTAACTTGATCTTAAACATGCTTGGAAATAATGTGTACTTTCTAGTTTCTTCCAACTTGTGAAGTATAATAGAATATGCTACGGAAGAAAAAGTTTTTTTTTATTTATGTTAGTGTGGAAAATATGTTTGACTGATCGAGGCATCAACAACAAAGGCCGCAGACCAAAGAAAAGCTACATGCTGTTAGCTTCCCTTTCCATCATTACTCTCTCTCTCTCTCTCTCTCTCTCTCTCTCTCTCTCTCTCTCTCTCTCTCTCTGCGCACTTTGATCTTCGATTTTATCTTTGGTCGGTCGACAAACTGTGTGTTATGTGTTCACTGTGTCTTGCTCGTGTTTCCCCCCCAAACTAGTAGCCTTCTCTCTCTCTCATACCACTCACACAGTCTTATAATGCACTTTGGACCAATCATAAGGCAACATGTATTATATATATATATATATATATATATATATATTCGTCATCCTGTGTATATATCTTATGTAGGTAGGAAGTTTACAAAAAAAATATAGTTAAATTTGTTAATTTTCAAAGCACAAAAAGCACGAGTATGATAGCTACAGAAATGGATAGTGTGCGAGAAAAGAGGTAGACATTAATGCCGTAAGAAGAAAGGAAAGGTAATGTCCCCGCTCTCTAGAGAGAGAAGAGTGGGAGAGAGAAGCTATGAGTGAAAGAGATACATAGAGAGAGGGAAGGTGTGTATATGAGAGAGAGAGAGAGAGAGAGAGAGAGAGAGAGAGAGAGAGAGAGAGAGAGAGAGAGAGAGAGAGAGAGAGAGAGAGAGAGAGAGAGAGAGAGAGAGAGAGAGAGAGAGAGAGAGAGAGAGAGAGATTGTGCGGGACCAATACGAGAAAAAACCAAAAAGAAAACAATTTATTAAACACTAGGAACAAAAGCTAAAGCCTTTTAACTTTATTGTTTACAAGAATAAAAAGGGTCACCACCCTCCACCCCTTCCTCTTCCCACATCAATTCACAAACCAAAAGCCTACCGTTTCTTGAGAGAGAAACTCATCAAAGAACAGATCTTTTAGAGAGAGAAAGCATAACTGAAGGTGAGTACTCAAAAAAAAAAAAAAAAAAAAACATTAGAGATCCAAGTGTTCTTACATCCAAAGAAGTTCTTTGTTTCTTTGTTAATTTTTATCCTTATATTTTCTCGGTTTAACTTCTTGGAATAACTATATTCAAAGCCAAGTTTTTTAGGGTTTTCTTAGAATCTCCTCTTCTCAAAATTTTATTCGTTAATTACACTTCTATCCATGGATATGTGTCAGCGTATAGAGAGGGGTGTGTTTTTTTTGTGGGGGTGGTGATATTATGTGTGCTAAGAGAGAAGAAGAGGTAGCAATAGAAGACGTTGATCATCATCATCATCATCATAATACTCAAAGTTTTCAAGAACAAATCACCCTTCAAGAAATTCAACAACAAAACATGGGTATAAATGATTATTCATATAGCAACACTAGGCTAATGTTTCCATCATCATCATCAGAGATCTCTCATCATCAGCATGAACCATCATGGAGTACCCTACCTCAAGTATTCCACCAAAACAGCAGCTTCAACCCACTTCTTCAATATCCGACCCGAGAGCACGATCCCTTTATCTTCTCTCCACCACCACCGCCGCCGCCTCCTCCCTTATCATGCTACGGCGGTTTGTTTAACAGAAGGGTACCAGGCGGCTTACAGTTTGCGTATGAAGGTGGTACATCATCATCGGATCATCACTTAAGACTCATATCGGAGTCACTCGGGCATGCGGTTCAACCCGGATCCGGCCCGTTTGGACTCCAAACTGATATCGGTAAGATGAGTGCTCAAGAGATCATGGATGCTAAAGCTTTAGCAGCTTCAAAAAGCCACAGCGAAGCAGAAAGAAGACGTAGGGAACGAATAAACAATCACCTTGCAAAGCTTCGAAGCTTACTCCCTAGCACCACCAAAGTAAGCACCCGTTTCTTGAACTTATTTTTTCTTTCTCAATTTATCTAAACAAGTATTCTCTGTTTATCATATACAATGGGACCCACAAAAATGTAAACCGAAAAATGAAACCAAGTAAACGAATGAACCCAAGTTTACGTGGGTTTTATCTAACACGTTTACTATATCGTTAAATTGTAAGAAAGATCGAAGCTTTTAGTTGTGTAAATCTTTCAAGATTTCTTGATAATTAAGTTGGCGAAAGAAAATGTGGGCATTTTAATGATATAAAGAAGAACCAACGAGAGCAGCTATAAAGTTCGTTGTAGACATTTTCTTGCCGGTGTTTTTGAAGTCCAAGAATATATGAAAAGAATCCAACACTTTTCTTCTAAGAACAACTCCAAGACAAACTAAGCATTCTTGTGTCAGTCATAACACAAACACACACTCTTTCTATGTGTTTTTACCCACGCCCATGCTTTAAACCCCATCATTATACAAACACACTCATGATAGCTTGCTAGCTACTACTATTTCGAAATGCTCAACTATCTTTTTTATCTCTAGGAATCCACCATCTTTTGTTTCCTTCTTCACATAATGATGATCCTTTCACATTCATTCACACATAGATGGACTATTGAGGCATCAAGGAATACAATCCATGTGATAAGTATACATGTGAATGGATGTGGGTGGAAGCAATTGATGTGATAAGTATACATAGTACTAGTGCATTATATGTAACATGGGAATATCATATTTTATTTTCATAATTTGCTATCATTTTCATAGATAGCCTGTTGTTGGTGGTCAAAAGAACTTAGAAGCCATTTTGCATGAAATATTTGGGTCAAAGGTACTTATATATATTGTGGTTTTTATATATTTATGTTATTTTATACTTTTTCTAGACACTAAGGCAAATAAACTGGAATGTGCTTTATAAATTGCGGTTTAAAAACGTCCTAAGTTCACAAGTTGGTGCACAACTCCATAAATAATGAAAGTATATTATACGTGTATTCATTAACAAAAGAATACCAGATGTGTTACCACATAAAATTAGTGGAACTTTTATTTCAACTAAACTATTCTAACATCTACAATTTTTATTAACCCTAAAAGATTACATTCATATTATGTTTTTTTTTTTTTTTTGGCTTTTTAGTTGTTTAGTTCATGTTCTTTCCATTTCATTATCCCCTCATGTTCACATTTTCTACTATATATTATACCATATTTGTTAACGCAAACGTCTAAATTTGTGAAACTCTTCTTCATATGAACTGCAATACATTCAGGTTTTTTACTTGTTCGAGTTGCTAACAAATGTTTAATTATACTTTTAGACGGACAAGGCATCATTGTTAGCTGAAGTGATACAACATGTGAAGGAGTTAAAACGGCAAACTTCGATCATTGCAGAACAAAGTCCAGTTCCCACAGAGATCGATGAGTTGACTGTGGACAATGCGTCTGACAAAGATGGTAAGCTTGTGATCAGAGCCTCATTATGCTGCGAGGACAGGTCGGATCTTTTACCTGACCTCATCAAGACTTTAAAGGCACTTCGACTAAGAACCCTAAAGGCCGAGATCACAACACTTGGTGGACGTGTGAAGAATGTGTTGTTTATAACTGCAGAAGAAGATCATTTAAATGGAAACGATGATCAGCAAATGGTGAATTACTCGATAAGTATGATCCAAGAAGCCCTTAAGCAAGTTATGGAGAAAACAAATGGGGATGAGTCTTCTCCTGGGAGTGTAAAGAGACAAAGAACAAACAACATCAACATCCTCGAGCATCATAGATCTCTTTAACGACGACGAAAATCACTAGTTAACTAGCCTAATCTTATGGATTTTTTCCCCTTAAGATATTGGGTTATAGGTTTGAATTTTTTCTTTTCGTGTGGGGTGTTTTGCTTTTCTTTAGTTTTTTTTTGGGTCTTTTTGACATGGGTATGCTTAGTTTGTTGTTGAAATTGTGTCTATGAAGAACGAAAAGCAAGTACTAAATGGGTGGTGTCCTTATGTATTTCCTATCTCATGATAAAAGAGATCTTTTTCGTGAGGAGAGAAGCCTAACATAGAAGTGTCGTTTTTTGGAAGGAAACACTTGGTTTGTTTCTTGTTATGTAGTGGAGCTTGTATTTATAACCACTTTCTCTCTCTACTCATTTTTTCTCTCTCTAAACATATGTCAAGTTAGTGGCATTAGTATAATGATGAGAGGTGACGATATAGTTTGCATCACCATTACATATAGAAGTACCACGCTATCAATTTCGGTGATCCGTAAATCTCCTGCGCTGAGCGAGTCCATTAAGTAAGAGAAAACCCTACTGACGCAAAATTGCTATCATGCAGATTCAGAGAGAACTGGCCTGTTAGCATAACAGAAGAACGTAATGTAGATAAGAAAATAGAGTAAATTACATGAATGGTATGATGGTTTGGGATAATTTATATATTTGGTTTTTAATTTTTTTTAAATTCGAACCATCCTTAAAATTTTTAGACGTTTTTCCTTTTTAGACCTAGAATGACTTAATTACCTTACTAGGTATTTTTATATTTTTAATTAATTAATAACGTAACTATTAGGTCATACGATTAAATCCCCCCACCGCCTCCCCTTCCTTGTCCTTGACCTGTATGCAAACCATCATTTCCTTTTTTTTTCTCCGTGCTACTCTGCCAAACTTTATCTAAATTGCAATCAACATTTTATCTGATTGACATATGGTGATAGAGATTCCTACATGCAAATCATTATTCCTAAAACAGGAGTTCGAGATCCACTCAACCCACCAGCAATTTTTTTCTCGCCTAAAATCATATTCGACACTACTTAATGTTAAGAGGCCTCTAGTTGCTTTCAAGCAAGAACCTCCCTGGATGCTGCCTTTTAGCTTATTACAATAGATAGATTGGGGAGATGTGAAAGAACAAAGCCATCAAACTGATGGATTGGGTAGATGTGAAAGAACAAAGCTATCAAACTCTTGCTAAACAGGTCGATTTGTCACCATTGATTACCACCGAAGTTTACACACAGGGTAGGGGAAAGGGGATGGCTTTGATTAGCCTAGATGACAAAGAATAGAAATATTGTTCACGTTTATTTCAAAGGCATATGAAGATAGATCTTCCGGCAAAGGTGGACCTGGTTTCCGGAAGTGGTGAAACATGATTTCAAACTCATTTTTCGTTGGCGGTGGTGGTGATGAAAGACATTAGTGGTGATGAAACTTATATTTAGAACAATGAGGGCTTTGATTCATGGGAGTAGGAAGCATGATGTCTTCACGATTGTTTGATATACCGCCTGTTACACACCACTGGAAGGGGATCGCTGATGGTGATACCCATGTGAAACGATGAAGATAGGGGAGTGGAGAAGAAGCAATAAATTGGGTAGCATTCCTAATGTTAGGTTATATGTGTATATTTGATTTTCTTTTAATTCATATTATAATTATAATAATAGATATTGATAAGAACAATATATATAATAAGGGTAATATGATTACTTTAAGTTTAGTAGGGATCAAAGATGCAACAAAAACATATTATAAGGACTGTTCGAATAAAAAAAAGAACTAAAGATCAACCATGCAAATTACCATATTATACATACTATTAATTGTTAAAAATGGTGAACAGGAATCTTTCACCATTTACATTTGTGCCACAAATTTTCCTTGGTTTACAACAGTTGCCACAATGCTTGCTTTTTAATTTTGGCAACCGACTATTTATTTTCTTAACTGGACACGGAAGTATTTGTCTTTCTCATTTTGCCACTGAAAGTTTTGCTTCCCTTTTCTCACACAAAACGCCATAGAATTTCTCATAGTTATCTTCTCTTACTCAAAGGCGGTTCTATTACACCCTTCTTCTTCTCGCAAACTACATTTTATCTTATTAATGGCTTTATGGAGTCGTCGCTTTTAAAAGATTTTTGCTCAACAACGTTGGAGAAAGTGGAGTAGAGAAGGCAACCCCCGGTGCTATTCGGCGATTGCAATCGACGCTCCTCCTTCTCTCTTGGATGGCTTTGGCTCTGGGATCAGATGGGGTTCCGACAAATTACAAGGTACACGCGAGGAGATGGAAGACGATGCTGTTATAGTCGGCTGATCGTCTCATAACGACCTTGATGGTTTCTTTTTTGCTTCCGTTTTTTATGACCACACGAGTTTCTCTTATGTTAAGTTCCTCAGGTTTGTTATGCACGTTAGGTGTTTGTGTTTATGTCTCATTATGTTTTATCTTTCCTAATATTCAAGTTTCGCTTGATTTAACTGTCGACCACCGCCATCAGCAACATGTTGTCGACCTTCGACACCGACATCAAACAACCATCTACCACCAACTGTAGCTTTCTCTTTTTGGCTATACCACAAACAAACACAAACTACACCCGAATACTATCACTGGTGCGTTGAGATTCTGGTGAAAGCACCCTATCCGACGGCCTTCAACCATCATATGTTCGACATCTTTAAGTAAGTTTCTCATGAAAGCGTCCTACCCGGCAGCCTTCAACCATCATATGTTCCACATCTCTGAGTAAGTTTCTCAAATCCATCTCCACTCCAATCTATACAAAATCCATTTCTTGGTTCTCGAGTTGTTCACTTATAATGAATTAAATTTTTTTTTTTTTGGGGGGGGGGGGGGGTTGATTCCAGAATCACCTGATTCCTCGAAAGAGAAGAGAGAGTTGCTGAAACAATATTGTCTCGGTCCCGATGAAGTCCTCTCTCGCTCTCTCTCTCTCTCTCGCTCTCTCTCTCTCTCTCTCTAGAGTTTAGGTGTGAAGTCGGCACCAACATCCGCTCCAGTTTCAGTGACCACCGCACGTCGCTTGATACGAAATCAGATGTGGATTTACATAGGATATGTTGATGGTACCACAACCTACATAAAACTTTTGTCAATCGACATTTTTGGGTGAAAGGTCTATCGAAAATGTCCCAGCTTTTTCCTCAAGGCAATTTTGCTAATTACTAATTTTCAGTCATCATGAGTTGCGACTTTGATTCAGATTACTTGATTATTGCTTAACTTTCTTTAATCAGGATTTAAAGCGTATCTTGGGTAATCGATTTCAGAAGTTTGAAAACTTCCATTTTGGCAAACACTTACCTGTAATCAGTTTGTGTGCACTTATATGTGCATTGGTATCTGACTAACAAACGTTCGTTTAAATGTTTTATAGTGTTTCATCATTTATCATCAGTTGTAGAAAAGCTAGTGGAAGTTGTCTTTAACTATAAATGTAATTTTTATCCATTTTTAATTTTCTTTTACTTAAAATTGATTCACAAAGGTTTTAACGAAGAATAGATATTGAATTCAGTGGTATTTGGACAGCGGTTTCAGTTTTCACAAAGGTATTTGAAATCTTATAACTTTTCTTCTTTTTAGTTATGCAAGTCTAATCATATTTGGTTTCATTTTCTTTGTTATCAATTCTTGTAAGTGACGACATCCAATGTCATTATGGTTGCTTGTGTTCAATGATGTGTTCCTGGGATGTTGCCTCCATCATACCCCAAAAATGTAATTCAGTTATATTCACACACTTGCTCTTGAGATTTGAAAGTCAGTTTTATGATGGACACCAACTGTTCGATAGAATGCTTCAACCAGGTTTTCAAAAAAAATTTCAGATTTGTTATCCAGCATATGATTAATTTTAGGATTACTTATTGTTTAATGTAAGATTTTTAACCTTTTCACGAAATCAATAAAATGAATCATAGTTTTATTTATATTAACCGCAGAAAAATTCAACATGATCTATGAGACAATGAATGTTTAATTACTAGTTATTAACTTTTCTATCAGGATGTGTGTCATTTCCTGGAAGGGCGTTTCTCCTTGTACCCACCTATGGCCTTAATCTTTCTATAATGATGTGTTGTAGGACTCAAAAACATGCCTACGGTAAAGACAATCCACTCAATCCATTCACATGAACAACTTTTTTTCTTTTTTTTACACTCTGCAAAATTGACAACATTCATCCTATAGGAACTGAATTGTGTTGGTAAACTTTTTGTAAAATATTAGAAGACTGTGAAACAATTTCCACATCTAAAACACTACCCCTTCACAAAAATTTATTATTTTTACTTTTGTGTAGTATGATTACTCAAATAATTAAAAAGTAATTCATAATTTTTCTATGGAGATATTTTCAAGTAAAAGATATGTAGGAGTTTTTAGAGCTACTAAAAGGGAGACAACAATAATTATGGTAGTATTTCCCCATAATAGCATTATACTTTTCAATTGTTTCTTGCTTTCAAAACCGGAAAACAACTCAAATATGAATGATGATCCTTGATTTTAGTTATTTACTTAAATTATTTATTTATTTATTTATTTATTTTTTTGCGGCTGACATTGAATTCTAGTTTGGAGACAATTAAGTTGAAATGGAAAGTTGAATTCCAGTAAAATCCACCACATGCTACTATCTTTGACTTTGTTTCTGTTTATATGTTGATATTTTTAGATTTATATGTATGTGTATGTGTGTCTGTTTTGAACTGAGTTTGTAATTGTTTGTGTATGTGTGTCTTTTGATATTGCAGGTGTGCATCAATGGTTATAGATTGGCCCCTTGGTTTCTGTGACATTCAAGCAGTGAAAAAACATTGATGTGAACAAAATTCATAAAACTTATGATAGATTTGGATGAAATTTTCAAGTAATGCCAATTTTACCCATGTTGATCTACAATCTTATCGGACTAGTTTTACGAATGCGGGACTGATTTAGGTATTAATTGGATTGAAAACCATGGCTAATTTGCTTTATATGGTAGTCACTTTCCAACATATGTGATTTTCAGTTTTTCTCTACAGTTTCACTCTCTTTTTCAACAATGATTTCGTGATCAGGACTGAATTGTTATACATTAAAAAACAATGATTCTGATTATTTTAACACTTAAGAATTTCAAATAAAATCATTCTCATTATACTTTTTATCAACCACTTATTTATTAATATTGTAATATAAACTTATTATTTTTTATTTATAAATTAGATTGGCTTTTTGTTTTATTAACTTTTACTTTCTGTTGAATAGGAAAGGGCTTGCATAGGATATTGTTGTTAGATGAAAAAACAGACAAGGTTAGATGAAAGTGGATTTATAAAATATTATAAGATAGATAAGGCTAATTGTGTAATAATTGTGTTTTTGTTGTAGGTCAGAGACAATTGGTAGGTGT